CACGCCAAGGACTTTTTGTGTAAGTTATAAATAATAATTTTTTTTAATATTATTGTATTTCTCTAATTATCTTATTTTTTATTTAATAATATATTACTAATTTTATAAAATTAAAAAATGATTAATCATTCGCACTTGACGAATGTACCCTCTTGATATCATTTCTTTTGTAAAGAGTATATAAAACTGTTTTGTATTTTTCAATAGAGTATTTACGAAAGTACAATTGATCTGAATAAGATTGTTTTAATAATATTTTTCCAAATATCTTTTGGCTGAGCTTTTGTTGTAATTTATTTATAACGATTTTTTTTGTAAAGTTTATTTATAACGGTTTTTTTGTAAAATTAATTTATGTTTTTTTTGTGATTTAATGCTAACACGCGTGCACTTGGCTTCTTTTTTTACTTTTTTTGTGAAAAAGTATTGACATAACAGTAACGTAAGACGTACCGTAAGAATTAACTAATTACGATCGAGTATTCATCAAAATGGCGACCTTACGGTTCAACGATTCTCAACATGATTGGTCAATTTTTACGGTACGTCTTACGTTACTGTTATATCAATTTGTGTGTGAAGATCTTTACTGCGTCCTGCGTGCAGGAGCCATAAGACGTAAGCAGTAAGCAAATTGACCAATCACAGTCATCGATTCTTCTTACGATCCAAGAATCAATGACTGTGCTTGGTCAGGGCCGTGGCACGCATAAAAACTTAAGCAATAAGACATAAGCAGTAAGCAAATTGACCAATCACAGTCGTTGATTCTTGGACCGTAAGAAGAATCAATGATTGCGATTGGTCAATTTGCTTACTGCTTAAGTTTTTTTGTGTGCTACTAGCCTCAAGCGTCTTCTACAATGGCAGTAGGAGTAGTAGTAAGAAATAAGCAGTAAGCAAATTGACCAATTCCATTCTCATGTTTCAAAAATAATCGATTGTGATTAGTCTATTTACTTACTGCTTATTTCTTACTACAACTCCTACTGCCATTGTAGAAGAAGCTTCAATTTGCTTACTGCTTACGTCTTACTGTTTAAGTTTTTTTGTGTGCCATGGCCTTTAGATTTGTTTTTCTCAGCTACACAGATGCAATAAGTAAGGGCCGTGGCACACAGAAAAACTTATGGCTCCTGCACACAGGACGCGATAATGCTTGCCGCGCGGCGGGAGTTCGCGCGACAGCCAATCAATATGCTGCTTTCCGTAATAACCTTCTAACTCTTACGGAAAAATAACATATTGATTGGCTGTCCCGATTGACTTCCACCGCGCGGCAAGCATTACCACGTCCTGCGTGCAGGAGCCATTAAGCAGTATGATGTAAAAAAATTGACCAATCACAGTCGTTGATTCTTCTTACGGTCCAAGGATCAACGACTGTGATTGGCTGATTAGCTTACTGCTTACGTCTTACTGCTTAAGTTTTTCTATGTGCCACTAGCTTAATGGCTCTTGCACACAGGACGCGGTAATGCTTGCCGCGCGGCGGAAGTCCACGCGACAGCCAATCAATATGTTGTCTTTCCGTAAAAGCTAGAAGGTTATACGGAAAGCAGCATATTAATTGGCTGTCGCGCGAACTTCCACCGCGCGGCAAGCATTACCGCGTCATGTGTGCAGGAGCTATAAGGTTGCGTGCGGAAACACACATCGGGTGCTTTCCAATTGCTTAACACATCTTGACACATATGTACACAGAAATGCACAAAGTGTAACGTTGTGCACGATTCAATTGAAACAAAGTATGTACTAATGTGTATGTACGTTGGGTAAGTTCAGGATTATTTTTCAACTGTGCTTATATTTCGGTATTTTTTAATAATATATAATAAAATTTAAATATTTAAAAAGATATTATCGCAAATGCCAGTTTTTTTTCAAGCCGCTATGCTTATTAACTTTAATTGTCACTAGAAAACACTAGTTTACACAGCCGACTAGTAGCCCTCGAACTGAGTACGGATGTGTAATGTTGTGTCGACGATTACGACAATTGGAATGCAACTTCTGTCGCGGTGTGCATGAAAGTGTTTAGGGATATTGCAATTGGAAAGCACCCACTGTGTACACACTACTAGACGATAGCTGTTCGGAAACACTCAGTATGGCTCAGAGTGGAGAGAGTCCCGATTGCCGACAGTACAATTGATCACAAATTGTAATGATTGGTTCGATCTGGTAATTCACTAGATAATTCTTATCAACGATTGGTTTATGTGCAATCGTATAGGCAATCGGAACGCTCCCCTCAGGGGTGCGTTCGAAAAAATCACCCGTGTGTATTTTGTCACACTCAGATCGTTCGAAAACCCCTAGTGGGCACACTGACCATGCGACCATGGCCGTTCGAAAACCGTACTCCGTGGACCACTCGTGTGACTTTTCTCCACTCTCTTT